AATTCACAAGTGATCCCTTAAAGTTACAATAGCACTGAAAAAAGTGACTTAGGACCATTTTTTCACACTTAACGACCATTACAGCATCCCCATGGTCATATGTCTGGCAAATGACTCATATATATGACTGTTGCAATTTCCCAGGGTCAGGCGATAACCTTTTGTGATCTTCTGGCAAGCCAAGTCAATGGGGAAGTCGGATCCACTTAACAACCATGTGACTAACTTAATCATTGCTATGTGATTCACTTAACAATTGTGGCAAGAAAGGTCATAAAATGGGACAAAACTCATTTAACCATTTCCCCCCCCCCCACTTAGCAACAATATCCCAATTTTCCTCCTGGAGTTAAAAAGCTCATCCTCCGTCAATGTTTCTCCAGAACACAGGTAGTCCTTGACTTACGACCGAGGCTCCATTGTGGTTGTAAGTCAAGGATTAGCTGCATTCTGGAGAAACACTGAGGAAGGGTGAGCTTTTTAACCCCAGGTGGAAAATTGGGATATAAATGTAAGGAATTAATGTAACATCCTTGTAGCTTTGAAAATCTGCAACGCAAGGGGCTTAATAGATCGTGGTTCCATCACAGGCTTATAATATATTCAACTATTAAAATAAATCCAATTAATCTGCAGAAGCGGGAACTATTCAGGAGATAATTAAAAATAAATAGCAAACATCGCCATCTAGTGGTAAGGGCTGAACTAGCCACCACTATCATATAAAATTGGGGTCTTGGGGTTCAATCTGGTTGGCAGATTAACTCATTTAAGGAATACATGGAATCAGACACTAAATGCAGCCCCCAAACCCATGAAGACTTAAAACCAGCAAAGCTTAGCATTGTTCTGACCTAGGCTCCCCCAGGCGGCACGAAGCCGAGTCCTTGTCTCGATAAACCCCTTTTATTTAATTTACAGTGAATTCTTCTCCAGCAAAGTCTTTCCTCTCCCACAGTCTTTCAAGATAGTTCACAATTAACAACCTTTATCAGGCTTGGAGAGCGGCCAGGCTGATATCTTTCAGACGCTGCAATACTTGGCAAGAATGCAGGAATGAACTAAGTGTCTCCTGCAAACTCCACTCCCCTTTCGCTCCTTTTCTTTCCTCTGGGAGGGGCCATTCACTACCTGTAGCCTTACTCCCAAGTCGACTCTTGTTCCTTAGCTGTTCCCTTCGTCTGGCAACTCTGCGCACGCGCACACTGGGAACAGCCTCCAGCTGTTCATCTGCCTCACTGATGTCTGACTCCGGAAGGCAGCTGATAACTGTCTGATGGCTCTTGTCCTCTCTCTGCGTCCAACACGGAGCCCTCATCAGAGCCTTCCCCAGACTTCAGGACTGGCCCATGTTCCTCCCCAACCTCCTCACTGTCTGAGTCTGCCACCAGCTCTGCTGGCCCCTGGTGGGCCACAGCAAGCATGTGTATGAATGCTAACTTTATTATTAACACGGTGAAGTATGTTGTAGGAATGCAACACATAGGAATGTAGCCAAGAACTCAAAGACAGAAAGCAATTTCTCCAACACAAAACAGAAGAAGAAAAAGGAAACCACAACACAAGAACTGAGATACCCAAATTATTTGAAAGGCGTTTATTTGTATTACTTCCAACTTGAACGCAACCCATTAAAAATGGTCTACCTCTCCGTACGCTGATGCCAAGTTCTCAATTGCTTGGGCATCAAAAAAATGTCCGTTTTGCATTGGCTCCGACACTGCAAATCCATCCCTCGAGCTATTTTATCAGAGAAGCCTAGAAGTGACATCTTTGGGATCTGCAGCCATTTGTCGCCATCCACCAAAGGTCCCTAATGCACAAACGTTCAGTGAAAAAGCAGGAAAAACGAGCCTGAAAGATCTCTCAAAGTCAAGAGCTCTGCGTAAATCCTTGGAAATGCTTTTTTTTTTAAAGATGGCAAGATTGCTTCTGAACATGAACGAAGTGCCAACAGGGGTTGGCAACCTCCTGGGGTCTGGCAAGGCTGTACATTGCAACTAGGGTGTACAATGGGTGTAGTAAGATTGAAAAAAAAACACCAGGTACCGTGTTTCCCCAAAAATAAGCCCTACCCGGATTTTGATAGGATGCCCCTAATATAAGCCCTACCCCCAAAAGTAAGGGCTATTATTATAATATTTTTTTAATAAAATTTATATGCCGCCCAATCCCGAAGGACTCCGGGCAGCTTACAAAAAAGAGAGAGAGAAAAAAAGACAGATGACGAATACATAATGAAAAAAAATGGTTTAAAATAGCAACACCTCATACATTCATTCTAATCGGGGCTGGACCTCAACAGTGAGGTCACCAGCCCCAGGCCTGCCGGAACAGCAAAGTTTTTACAGCTTTCTTGAAGGCCATAAAAATGGGTATGGTCCGGATCTCTGGGCGTAGCT